TCCTGTGCTGAAGTGGAAAAAGTTCTTGGAAATGGCCCGTACTGATTCAGAATTAGTGGTATCTGCACCATAAACTAATGCTAACAGCCCATGCGCTAATTGGTGGGGCAAGATTATTGAATGTGCTGGGACAACGAAATCAGCAACGTCGTCTTGCGTCTCATGAAAACCTACTTAAACGATGCGTTCACAATGGCGATTGTGGCAATGAATTCGAATATTGTGATGATGGTGTTTAGGAGCAAAATCTCCATGTGTACTGTAAGCTGTATGTGTAGAAATCTAATGAAGCGGTGTGGTTCCGAATTGGTAATGCGATGAACAGAGGATGTGAAGGAGACGTTATGCTCACAATAGACGATTCAAATGTCCACCTATTAGACGGCCATTGTAGCGGCCGCATACCGCTATTATATTAAAATCTACTGTGGTCCGTGGCGGTGGTTGCGGTGGTCGTGGTCGGTGGTTCGTGGAATGCGCGCGCATACTTGACGGACGCGTGCACTCAGAGAGATCGCGAGTGCTCCCCCACATAATCTTCTGTCTGCTTTTGGGTGAACGTCTACCTGTCGTGGGCTCGCGTTGTTTTCCGGCCGTTGCTACTGTCGGATCCATTCTGGAGAATGTAATGTCCCGTGGAAAGGGGGAAGAGTTTGGATGACATAAGAGGACGAAAAGAGCATGATGGAGGGGGTGGGAATCGAATGCAGGGCCTCCAGGTTGCCGGTCGAGTGTGTGACCACTACACCACCAAGCCAAAAATATTTGGACCTCTCCATGCCATCCCTAAAATAACGATAGAGAGGGGGATTCTATGTACACTTCCCGCTTTCTATTTTTCGGGGTCCGATACAGACTTTTCCTTAGGGACGTGTAAAACGTCCCCGCGTATTACACTTGGAGTTCTCTTTCATCTCTGGAGGAAGGAGGACTTCCTCACCGGTATGGTATCACCGCCCATGTATCTGATTGGAAAGAAAGTTATGGGAATTTCTTGAATATCCAGTCCAATTTTTTTCCAGAGCATGCTAGAATGTTCTGCGTGTGTTTATAAGTAGGTCGTGTCCTTCGGCATACAACCGTATATTATTACAGCCCTGGTGCTCTCCAGCTATGAACCAGCCCTACCCTCTTACTAAGGAGCAAGTTCGCCTGCTTCTTCTTTATGACTTCCGAATCAAGAAGAAGGCAGCCGATTCCATCGCCGACATCAATACCGCGTTTGGCCCGGACACTGCGTCCAAGAGCACTGCCTATGATTGGTACAGTCGCTCTCAGAAAGGAAATGAAAGCCTGGAAGAACAGCCACGCACCGATCGTCCTTCGGAGTTTGATAACTGCCTTGCAGGAGGCACTGGAGGCCAACAACCGGCAAACATCGCGAGAGCTTGCGGACTTGCTGGGTGTCTCCCATACAACTATCCTTCATCATCTGGCTGAGCTTGGCAAGAAGGCAAAGTCGGGGTGCTGGGTACCCCACAAGCTGGACGATCGGGACCGCCAGCGACGAGTAGACGTGGCCATCTCCCTTCTGTCACGTTCGCGCCGAACGGATCGGCTCGACTCAGTGGTGACAGGCGACGAAAATTGGACCTTCTATGCCAACATTCGACGAAAACGTCAGTGGGTGGACGCCGGAGCATCGGCCGAAAGAGAACCCCGTCAGGAGTTGCACCCCAAAAAGATCATGCTCTCGGTCTTCTGGGAATCGAAAGGCATCATCATGTTTGAGCTGTTGCCGTAAAACACCACCATCACTGCTGCCTACTACTGCCAGCAACTCGACCGGCTGCAGCAGAAACTGGCTGAAACACGCCCAGAAAGACAGAGAACCATCCTCCTTCACGACGATGCCCGGCCGCACACCGCTAGACAGACTCATCTAAAGTTACTGGACCTGTGCTGGGAGCTGCTGCCGCATCCGCCCTACAGCCCCGACCTTGCCCCGTCCGATTATCACCTTTTCGTTGCCCTGGACCGTCACATGGGTGGAAAGCAGTATGCCAACCAAGACGACCTGAAAACCGATTTGGCCAACTTTTTCGTAGCGCAGCCGCCAGAGTTCTATTGGAATGGCATCCATAGTTTGCATAAACGTTGGCGTGAAGTGATAGAGGCCAATGGTGATTACATTCATGATTGAGATTATTTTGTTTTTAAATATACTGGGTTGTAATAATTGTTCATGAAATTCCGAGAACTTTCTTTCCAATCAGATATTTATCGGGATGCCGACCACATCATCTATTGAAATACCATCCTCTTATTCCTCACAAAGAGAGTGACTCCCGAGGGTGAAAACGGCGGCATCTCACCTGCATGGCACAAGAGGATCTTGGATGGAAAGACGACGTCGGCGTCGTCGTCGTAACCAACCCTTTTCTCTATCTCCAATTTGTTGAGTGGGCCTCAAGTTCCAGGCCTGCCTTTGCTGAGATTGCTTGGCCAACGAAGGTGATAACGTTACGCCGTCCTTGCATCATCACCGTCGACCTATTTTATACACTGTGTGAGGCATGAAGTCATACGAACTTTAGTTCCTTTGAAGTGAACGTTTAAAAGCAAATATTACCTAAAGAAGACGAAGGGCGACCACTTTGTGCATGTGATGTTTATAACTTTGTGATGAAAGTGTTGGCGGGTCTTGGCAAGGCATACTTCCGTATTCAGTAGGGCTGCTCCAATGGTCCCTTGGTACCTGTTCCTTCACTCCGCCAATGCGCACTGCAGGCCTGCTTTAAACTTGATGAATCACATCCCACGGGAATCGCGGCATTTTTCTGACCTATATTAAATCGCTATTTTTTTTTGCCATCAGCCTAAACTGAAGGATGAACCTTATTTCAATTGCAGCAGGCATACTTATACTGTTCCTATGGGCGCGCCATCTCTAGTTATTTCTCATCATAGCGGCTTTCCCATAACCATAGTAACAAGTACACGCAGCGGGCATGAGGCCAATAACATTCGGAACCGTGCGATGAGAGTTGCGCCAATAAAAGCCCACATACCACATTTTCCGGCGAGGCAACGATTTAAGGTAACGGATTCATCTTTGGGTTACCCTTCGTCTGTCGAACGGCTTCGATTTCTCGTCCTTCGCAACTGGGGGGTGCTTTTTCCTGTCTTCTCACATGGCCAGCCAGGGGGCAGGAGGGCGGGAGTGTCCCGACCTCGTCCCATGGCCATTGTGCGCATTTATTGCCTTTAAATATTGAATTCTTCTGTGGTTTTGCACTGGCTATCTACTAGTATGTATAAAGCCTGAAGGTCTCATCGACCCGTGATAATCTTCGGCATCCGATCAGTGAATGGAGTGAAGGAGGCGAATGCGAATGGAGTTGAAGGAAAAGATATCACCCCCATTTCATCGTGGACGCTTAAAGTCTCAGATTTTTTGACATCACACTGAGCGATGTCGCCGTTCTCTCACGATTATTGCGGAGACTCTCGTCTCCTCGTTCTTCCGAGAGATGGCAAATCTCCAATTTTTCGTGAAAGTTGCATCCCCTCCCTTTCCTGTGGCCGATTTGGAAATTTCACTTGAAAAAGACACATCCAACGATGATATGGAAGAGTTCTGTCGAAACCCCAAGTTCATATCTCGAAGCGTTTGGCCTGTAGAGCTATCATACACACAAACGCAAACACAAACAACCAATTGTTGTTCGGCCTAGCTAGCGGTCAGGATCCTATATATGTTTAACCTCCAGACCTCGGTTACTAAGGAACCGGGCTTCTCCGGTTTGAAATAGGAGAATTTCATGAAAATGAAGATTCCTCCGTCTCGCCACCAAGGCCAATATTAAGGTCAACATAATCCATAATAAATCCTCAAAAAGAATAAAGAAGGAAAGAGAACCAGGGTGTTGTCGATGTGATGTGAACACACCTCCTCCATAAACCCAGAAGATCTTGAATAAAATATGGACATTCATTAATCAACCTCCCTTGAGTTTCCTTAAGAACACCCTTAGTGAAAGAAATCAATGTTTCCTGGCCGCCAACCACGGCGCTGAAATCAATAATGTCCATCTGAAGGCGAAGCAGTCGACCCCCAGCCCAAGGCACCTCTCTCTATTTTTCCCGACGACAGCATCAGTATGGAGCCTCGCAGATCCATGGCAAACAAAATTAAGACGTTTCTTGCTTCGTTGCTGTTATTACGAGACGTCGCCTCTGTCAAGTTGATCTCCTATTACGTCGTGCATCCAGGGCAGAGATACGAGACTGTGACGTTTGAATTCAAGGCGAGACTCTCGCAACCTGCAGCATAAATTGTGCGCTTCAGAAACATAGTCCTTTCTCCGCCTTCAACTATAGAGAGCCCGATGGTTCGTGCCAGTTGATTCTCCACGGTAAGAGCAGACTCGTGGAAGCTAATGGATACCAGTCCTACGTCCTGAGTCAGTCAAAAGTTTCCCTATTTCATCTCGACTCGAAGACGTGATCATAAACCTCCCCCCCCTACCCCTCCCTTTCCTAAATACAGTGTTGTGTCTTGGAGGGTATCCGACGATCGAAAATTGTTAAAGTGTTTTTCGAAAGCTGGAGCGGAGAATACCCGGCACCACAAGGAGGGACCGTCAAGTTCCGCTGTGAGCATCCAAAAGGGTTCTCGGACGGAGCTCCTCTCCACGCGGCTGAGTGCTCCGCCTTGACACCGGACACTTGGTACATTACCTTCCAGGAGGATGCAGTTCAATGTGAGGGTTTACCGTTGTAGATATTTCATGATATTTTTTACAATTCACATATCACCTTTCTCCATATCCACCTTTTTCACTTCACTATTTTAAGACAAATGGACATGAATACATCCGTATGTAACATGAGCGACGCCGCCGCTCTTGATACCATCTCCGTACTCGTATACTTCTCGCAAAAAAAGTCCGACAAAGAAGGTGCTTAGTTATATTGATGCCATTTTGGCACACAAGCTCGTTGAGATTGGGTACCACATTTCAACCGACCAACCAAATGATGCATGCATCAGCGTGATGCGTGAAATTGATACCTGCTACAAGCTGCCACACCGACTGACGTGTCCTTGTAGGCTGGAGGCAGAAATTTTATCTCACAAATAATGATGAATCCCTAAAGGTGAAATGTGAAATTGCCTATGGCGGCAAAGGAAAATCATGGAAAAAAAATTTCCAAATGGAAAAAGTGAGAGATGGTTGGCCTCAAAAGATACCTAACTTGAAACTTCCCACTTACACTTACTGATGCCTTCCATTCACCTTCTTTACACCTTGTCGCTCTCAGACTGTATATTGCTTTGGCAGGTGAGATTGCACAAACTCCTGCATATCCAGAATGTCGTCTAACAGAGAAGGGCAGCGAATTCATAGGAAGAGTGAGCGTGACGGAAGCGGGGAAGAAATGCCTCAACTGGAGATCCTATCCCTACGGAAGACCGAATGACTTCAAGGAAATCCCATTAGACGGGAATGAACTGTCCGACTTCTCGGATTCCGAGCCCTCTGGAACACCGAGAATCGACTTAGTGTACGAGGCCCACTTCATTAATAGAGACTCATGGTCTCACCACAACTACTGCCGAAATCCGTCCGGGAAGGAGAGACCCTGGTGCTTCGTTTCCGACCCTGAAATCCAATGGGAATATTGTAGCATCCCAATGTGCACTGACACAATTGAAACATATCTCATACAGTTTCATTGATTGAGGGGGATAGAGAAATTGGCGTGAGAAATGTTACCCCAGAAGGAGCTTAGGAGGACAACGTGTTCCTCCCCGAATCAATGCTCCATTCCATATTCGCATTTTCAAATTATTTAAAGATTTCTCAAATCCAGGAAACTTGCTTTCAAAATCAATACGGTGAAACACAAAGGATGACTATGTGGTAGGAACTTTCATTCTCACCCGATATTTAAAAAAATACGCATTTTGTAATCCATTATTTGGGAGGAAACTTCGGTGAGACCCAAAAAATGATCGTGAAATTTGGGTTTTACCCGAGAAAAGGAAACAACGAAAATGTGAGATTAAACTGCTCCTTTTTACCTAGCCGGAAAAAAACAGTGAAAGTCAGAAAACCTCGTATCCGAATACGGAGATCCGAAAAAAAACTCAAAAACGGTATCCTAGATTGAGTCACTATGTCTAACTTAACGGTTACCAGACCAGTCAGGGATAATCTATGATCGGTATTTTTGACCCGCAGAGGTTCTTTCTGCTCGTGCCAGGATTAAGGGTGTAGACGATGGATGGACCCTGACGCATGGATCTTTGTGCAACCAGGACTCAAATGCTTCTTAATGCGATTTTTTGTTTCTTCATGCCAGTACAGGGAGCGACCATGGTGCTTCGTCTCCGACAACGACACGAAGTGGGAGTACTGTGACATTCCATTCTGCCAAGACCTTAGTCAATTCCCGCTCTACGAGAACAGTCCCTGGTATTTCTGTAATTGCGTGGCGTGTTTGCTTTCTCGAAAGAAGGATGAAAGAAGGTCATCTCTTTATTGAATATCTCTTAATTACCTGCAAATTTCGATCGTATGGTCCTTTTCTGTTATCTGCAGCTCCCCTTTGGGTGAATTTAAATCGGGAAGACACGGCCACCCCGGTTTTACGTGCAACGGCGTACGAATTTTGATATATATCAATTTGAACGAGGGTTTTTATTCCCTTACGAAAGAGTTCTATAGGAATGTATAGGAATTGCATGGAAACGTAAAGGAATCACATTGGTTTCCTATAGGAACTATTCAATCAAAGCAATATGGAGTCCACAGATTCCTATAGGAATCTCAGAAAGTATCCTATAGGACGCTGTTTCCTACAGGGAGCCCAATAGGAGCCCATTGGGAATCAATTGGTATCCAATAGGTCAATTATAAGAACTATAGGGTCCCGATAGGAAACTCTTGGGTCCCCCTAAGTTTTGGACACTCCCTAAGACTTAGAGATAGGTCGCTTCCGAAACCAGACCATTACTAAAAATGTTGCGAAACACTACAACAGGGACTCAAGATTTCTCTTAATTTATCTCTTAAAGGCATAGATTCTCACAGGACTTTCGAGATATTCCTATGAGATCTTCACTTTCCTCAAGGACGACCTGTTGCCCAGGTTGTGCAATAATTGTTCATAGTAATGACGTTGCCAGATTCAAAGAAGAGAAAAGCTAAATCGTTACTATTCCCAAACGTAACTAAAGGCAGTGAATAATCTTTTGATTGAACAAGCTACAATTAAAGATGTGAGACGCATTCACCTAAACCCTACCAAAAATGAATGTTGCATTGTATACAGCATCCTCCCTCCTGCCACCTATCCTAATGCCATCAGAGTCGGACGTTACTAATTGTTTAGCATCTGATACGGAGAAGAGTGACCATTACAATGAACAGGAATTAATTAAGCAAACAAGACTTCTTGCTCTTGATTAGCCTGCATGAGAGGATGAATTGATTCTTCCTTCATACTCAATCTGGTGGATAATGTATATTCGATAATTTTCCATTTTCATCGAGTGATTGCATTTCCGTGATGGATAGCACATCTGTTAAAGCAGTGGGGGATATCTATAAATAATTTATAGAAAAGGACTTCTGTAATTCATCCCACCCCTTCCCATCCCTGTATCTTTCACTGTGTTGGTGGGAAGAGGATGGACCCAGGTAACAAACGAACATTCAATCAGTATTGCATGAACGTTCATTTTGAACATTCCCAGGGTTGTCGTGGCATTGTGTCTAGCATTAATTCAATTTTTAATTCAATATGTCGCTCATCGCAATAGTCAGGTGAACATTGAAGTTCGACTCTGGCTGCACGTTAGGTCAACATTGAACTGTCACTCATTGGAACGCTTACTCCCTACCTCAGTAGGACAATATCTTGGCTCAATGCTGGACCAACATTGGGAACGTTGCTGCGCCTAGGCCAAGATTGCCAATATCGGATAAATATTGGTTTCCCGATATTGCCATTCCATGATCAATCCAATATCGAACAGATGCGATGATCCAATGTGCTTCAGTTGCACTTTAAAATATTTGGGAAAAGTTGAAGGTTATCCTCTACCCTACTAGGTGTAGGTATGGGTCTCGTATTTCGCATAGTACACATCAGTACCCTTCCATCTATCCATGGAATCATCCCTCACAGGAGTGCTTAGTACCTCATCATACATCTCGCCTACTCTCATTATTTTGAATAGAAATCAATAAACTTGGCCACTTCAACATTCCTTATTCCCATATCTTAGAGTATCATGGAGCCCAGGCCATAAACACGCTCCGATTCCCTTTGAGTACTCCCTATGAAAATAATAATGCCTTTAATGCCTTTAATAAATCATGCACTTTCGGTAAATTGACTATTCCCATATCTTAGAGTATCATGGAGCCCAGGCCATAAACACGCTCCGATTCCCTTTGAGTACTCCCTATGAAAATAATAATGCCTTTAATGCCTTTAATAAATCATGCACTTTCGGTAAATTGACTATTGTCCCACCCCATAATAGTTCAGGCAATACTTGTACTGAAGAAACCAAAAAACATATTCGCATCATATAGGTCTGGAGTCCTAAAGGACCCTTTGTGGATCTCATAGGCTTTTCATGTTTCAAAAACCTATAGGAAAAATAAAAAATTTTCCTGTAAGAAATACGTATATGTATTCATAGAGGACTTTTTCCTAAGGGACATCACATTTCGACTCATTTTCGTTTCCTAGATCCACCAGAATGCAAACTAAGCGAGAGAGGAGGGGAATACGTGGGGAAGCGAAACGTGGGAAGCGAAATGCGACAATGTCTGGTTCTCCTTGTCTACCATGGCTCACTGTTTCGCCAGATACGGTTGAACAATACTTGAGTCGATTTTCGGATGAATTGGACTTAAGGCACGGCTTTTGCCGCAACCCCAACCTCAGCGATTACGGCCCTTGGTGCTATGTCAGCGACAATACTGAATGGGAGTATTGCGTGGTTCCATATTGTCCCCCAAGCGACGGAGAAATATGCGACATTCGAATCAGAGGGGAGTGCGTCAGTGAGTGACTCACTCTTCTCTTGCACCGTCCATGTTTTTGCAAGTTCTTTCCGAACTTCATTTTTCCTTTCACGATCGCGTTTCCTTCCATAGACTAAAGCGTGAAGACATATGTTTGCTTTCCAGACCCACGACAATGCAAGACAGACAAGGATGGACGGTCGTACTTGGGAACAACGAATGTTACCATCAAGGGACACGAATGCCTGCCGTGGATGAGTGATTCAGCGCTGAGACAAATTAATTTGCAACTCTATGAAGGTCAGTACTATGATGATGGCGAATTTTTTTCCGAGCATTTCCTATCAGACGACTTGCACCCAAACCACAACTTCTGCCGTAACCCAATCGGCGACGAAGGAGGTTCTTGGTGTTACAAAAGTGGAGGGAATGGACGGGATTATTGTGATATCCCCTTCTGCACTTGGAACGTTCCACACGAGAAAATACATCATTATTACCCTACCAATCGTTACTATATCTGGCACAAATGCTCTGATTTTTCACAATTGCAAGCAGGTTTTCCTTCAATCCGGTTCAAATTCCAGTCTCTATAGATTTCGCCCTCGCGAAGGCACAACATGTATTGATGCCGACCGAGAACAACCCCCCCAACCAAACCATCTCCCTATATTCCCTATCTATCTCTTAACATGTGAACTTGCCCCACTTAAAGGAAAGCGTCTGCAACCAATTGGAGGTACATACCTGAATTGATCCTTTAAATTAGTATGTAGCAGGTCAAAGCTAATAGACAGGGAAAGCGACCTCATCCAGACTTTCCATAATTGTCCTTGCCCGTTGTATCCTAAAGTGTTAATTCGGGTCTAATGAGCCCTTGACTTTGCGTATTCCTTTATGTTGATAAAGTGTTTGAATTCTTTGGATTTGGGATATGGAATTTTTTTTTCCGTTTCGAGCACGCATTGTTTGTGTGAATATATAAAACCTACCGTGTCATTCTCCTAGATACAAATTGTAAATATTACTCCCAGTGAAATTCCCATGCTTAGCGATGAGGGAATATAAGAAAAAAGAACTTAGTTTCCGTTGAGCTGATCCAGTGACTTTTTTAATTGTCTCGTCACTCTTTACAGATAGCTTGCCATCGCGTCAATTTATTTGGAATCTTTCTTCTCATTCGAAAACCTTGCTCGTTCCATAAGTTAGTTCCTTAAGTCCATAGCTGGTCTTAAGTTATATTGATAGTTCATCATTATACGGTTTTTGAGATCTAGCGCTCTTTCTCCTGCCCTGATAGCCAATCTCTCGGGGCAATCATGTTTCACGTGCAATTAGGTTTACCTCACATGGGTTTGTAATGCCTGTTAATTGATCTCGGGGATTGATTTGTGAATGTTTGTGGACACGAACCCATCCGAACTCTACGCATTTGTCTTGTGCGTTGTGTTACGAATCGTCCTTTGTATTCCAAGGCCTCTTTGTTTCCTTCTTTGTGTGGTGTGCACTAAGAATCTATTCAATAATTGCCTTAATAGAATTTTCGGATATGGATAATTAAATCTCATTTGGGCCACACAGTGAATATATCCACATGACATGAGCATCACACCATACTATTTCCCCCGGGACATTATGTAATTTTCAGTGAATATGATTCCCACATGAAGTTTTGTGACAAGAAGTAATGGGACCGTCGCAATATTCACGGTGTCAAACTTCTTGTGCCGTCCAGAGAACCGCATTTCCTGGAAATTGATTGAATTATTTTCCCCTAGGTGTTGGGGGAAAACTTAAAGTATGACTTGTGCACCTTTGAAAGCGAGAAGAGACGATTTTGACCAGTAACAAGGTCATTTGTCCAATTCTCGATTCCCTCTATTCTCTAGGGAAATATTCCCAATAAATATGGAATGAAATGATGCTGACTGCGTTTAATACAAATATATATTAATAAATGAAACATTGAAATAGTAATCTGATTGCTTCCTGACAGAATAAACTCTGCCATGTTCACTTTCCGAAAGTGGAAATATCCCTTTCGTGCATGGTGTCCACTGTGGTGGACGGCAAAAATGTTGGCGATAATTATGAATTTTCAGCTATGGTACTCATACCTCGAAACTTTTGGTGCGTGGAGTCAACTCAAGGGCACATAATCTGTTCAGTGTCTCTTTCTAGCAGTAGAACATTCGACTACTGCGGCAGAGTACCTCCTTAAACGTTAAACCATGAAGGGCATATTTTTATTTTGCTTTAAAAATTCATGCACGAAAGTGATATATTCCAGAGACCTGTGTGAACTCCATTTCTTTTAGACACTGTTCCCAAACTTGCTTTTACTCGCATTGAACCTTGAGTCCGGTGGGTCGCAAGAGTCCGTTTAGGAACCGCATCTATAAATAAAACTCCTCCCATTACTGGATTGAGACTAGTGGGTAGGCAGTGATTTTACAGGTTTGCTCAAAGCAGAATGAGAATTCAGGGGAAATTCTGAAGCGTTACTCCTGTTCGAAGATAAACAAATCTGACCTCATCAATTTCCATATGAGAGCTGTTCATGCAATACAGAGGTCTAGTATGCAGAAATTCACTTCCCATGCAGAGGTCCTCCTCTACCTTACCTTCTTCCACATCTTCTTTATCTTCCTCTAGTTTGTTCTCTCTTCCTCCAAATAATCCTTTTCCTCGTCCTCTTCCTACTCTTCCTTCTGCTCTTTCTCTTCGTTCTTTTATATGTCCTCTATCTCATTCTCGTGATTAAACTTCTCCACTACCCTTCCTTCATCCACAACATCCTTTACGTCCTTCTCTTCCGTCTCCTCCCACTCTGAGCCACGCTGTGGTCATCGTTTGTGCTTGTACTTGAATACCCGCCTTTAGCTTTGCCTTATTTTCCTATAAAATGTTGGATAATTTAAGCAATTCCTATTGAGTTCAACATTAACAAGGCAATGACAGAAACGCAAGGCGAGGAATTCATATCTTCCTTGAAACTCGCAGTTGTCATTGTGCAGTAAACCGTCTGGAAAAATCGTATTCTTCGGGAAATATGGGACAATACCTCTGTCGAAGAAAATTCCAGAGTTGTATCATTACTGTGTTCGGATGGTGACGAGTTCGAAATGACGACTTTGGCTTAAGACCTAGGGCAATTGGACGCTATGAGGTAAAATGGACTGTGAGTAATGCCGACACTGCAACAATCGATGTTCCATCAGGAATATAGAAATCTTTCCATGTGAATCCTTATGAATCCCTGAGCGTCCAATATATTGTGCCAAGGCAGGAATTACACTGTCATCTAGGATTCTAAATTCCCAGGCAGAAGCCAGCTGAAAACAGATTTAAACAGATTTTTGACTGGGTGACAACCAAGAGGTCTCGGTTGGCAGACTTCACTGATGTGATAAATTGCTCCCGTTCAATGAAAAATTCCTATCTATCAGCCTGAAGCATTCGTGTGCGTGTTGATAGCTTTTCGAGACAACAGAAAGAGCAAAAGCACCGACACAAATCCACTTTCTCGCCAACGTAGCAACTCGCGTCCTTAATCTTTTTGGTTGTCATCAACGAGATCAGACTGCATCAAGATATTGAGAGAAGAATGAAGAAAAACAGGGGGGAAAGACCAAGGACATGTGCATCCTTTTTTTCCATACTGAGAGGAGTACTACGATTCAAGCGTTTTCACAAGGCCATTATGCACTATGACGCTAACCAAGGTTTAATTGCCCATCATGAAATAAAAATCACTCAGATTCGACTGAGAAATCTGGCCATTCGATTTGAGGGAACTTACCTCGTGTGACCTGGTGTTGTCCAACGGAATCTGGTTCACTTCCGCTTCCTGCCGTCACCTGCAGGCCCTGTCAATTTATGTGATTTCACTTAGTCCACGCTGCTTCTGGATTGTAATAATTAAGCAACGAAATCTTCATACCTGTAGAAAGTCCGAAGCCATGGATTTGGCTAGTGTGATTTCAGCCTCGCTCCACAGTAGAAACATACACTTATGAATAAAAACTCTTTCGAAGAAGAGTCTGTCTGTAGAACTGAGAGCAACAATTAGAACTCCTATGTTGCTAGGTTGCTTATGCATTCAGGATCTGTTGTGTTACCTCCATTCTGCCTTACTTCCTTGAGACCATTTTCCTCATCTAATTAAAGTATTCTAAATTCCGTATGAACGCTTTATGGGAAAAAGAAATGCATTAAAGGAACGAAGTATCAAAATAAATCTATTTCCGAGCACAATTCCTCATACCATTCGAATTCCATGGATGCAATATTAAAATTCAAACGTCATTTCTAATATGCTGAAGATCCATTTAGATTCCTGAAATAAAATTTTTCCAGGTCCAAATATGGGGATATCTCCTTTTCAATTAGTTCATTCCAGTCGTTCACCTATTGCTAAACCTATTTTTTTCATGCGTCAACCGGGGTTGGAGATCTAACGGGTAAGGGGCTAAAATGTGAAGAAATTGCCGTCCTACTCAGAAGAATGGCGTGTGCGAAGATGATCCCGGGTCGTTTCTAGGAAGCACGTAGCATTCGAACTATATTGAGTAGGAGGGAAACGCATTAATCTTCTTCGCTTGAATTTCCTTTAGAACAATGTTCATGAAAAAAATAAAAATCAATGTTACTAGGCCACCAAGGTCGGCGTTGACGTCAATGCAGTTCATCTAAATGTTTCACAGTGGACCCGCTCGCTCCCACCTAAGTCCTTGCAGAGGATCCAGTCATGAAAATAGAACCTCGCAGATCCGGGAAGAAAAACCCATCATCCTTGGGTTCCTACACCTATCGCGAGATGTCGCATCTCTCGAATTGATCCCATATTTATTTGTGCATCCTGGACAGAGATACGAGAATGTGACAGCAGAATCTCAGGAACTGTCCCTCAGAACGTGCACCATCGATTGTGTGCAGTGGGAACCGATTCCTTGCTACGCCTTGAATTATCAGGACACCGATCACTCGTACTAGTTGACTCTCAACAGGGTGAGCGGGCTCGTGGAAGCCAATAGATAAGGTGCCTACGTCCAGAGTGAGTTTAAAGTATGGAAATTTTACGTCGTCAGATTAGGCAACGTGACCGTGACCGCCATATTCCGAAATACCGTGTTGCGTGAGAGAGTGTATAAGAAGATCGAGATTGCAAAGGTGTCTTTCGACGGCTGGAGTGGAGAATACCCAGCACCAAAAGGAAGGATCGTCACGTCCCGTTGTGAACATCCAAAAGGATTCTCGGATGGATTCGCTCTCCACACAGAGGAACTGTTTTTCATTGCTTTGAATATTTAAAATTTGGGCAGTCGTTCCCAGCACGTTCACCCCAGGACGTTAATGGAACAATGGCAATAAGTTGAATAAAACGTTCATTGGACACGTTCGGGTACAACTAAGGTGGTAGTCTCTGAACATCATGGTGACTCCTTCTATGACAACAGAACACTTCGTTTCCTCTGGTTTGCAGCAGGTTTACCTGCCACTAAGTACTGTACATAGCTAAATACCTTTCGGCGGCAAACTCCTGGTTCATAGTGGAAACTTCAGAAAAGTCATTCACATCGTTCGCAACGGCAATAAGTACGCCATCCTTGCCGCTTGCCTTTTTGGCCACTATTCATGACCCGGAAACTTTAAATAAACATGAGAACGGAACGGGAGCAGTTCTCAGAAAGACCGTTGTCTGTCGGAGAAGGCCGCCTCTCGATTTTGAATTAGATCTCTGATTTCGCTGCTGTGCTACATCAATAATGCGCGGTTAATGACAACATCATGAACAATGCCTTCGGCAAAAACATAGATCTTACACACCTTGATTTAATACAAAACGAGACTATCCTTTTCCCTAAGAATAAAAAGGTACTGAAGGGAACGAAGTTCTAATTCGAGTAGCAGTTGAATCCGAGATCTACATCGTTATCGAAATCTGTCGTATGTGATGTGAGGAGGAAAATTATTACTCAGTGGATATTTACAACAGTCTGACCCTATTTCGAAACCACCTCATGAGTTGAAACTCAAATCTGGTACTGTCATCAAGCTCCTTCGCAGCTTCAAATAACACATCACATAACATAACAAGGGGTATGCAATGGAACGCGTATGATTGTCCGTCTCATAATGAACAACCTAATCGATGCCGAAGTGATGATTGGAGGTGCGAAAGGGGAAACGAGTACTCATACCTTCGACCGAAGAGGGATTTCCTACCTAAGCAAGTGTTCAGCCATGGCCAGCTGCATGTAGCTTTCTCACGAGTCCGATCTTTTGACTGCGTCACGATGAAACTTCTTAACTCTTCTAAGCAAAGTTAAACGAGAAATTGTTCACACTTCACACTGACTGTTGTCTACGATATCCGGCACGAATGCATGGAGATCGCATGAATCGTCAGTTCCTCCCAATATATTAGGTTGTTGCAAAAGTCCTGTCGGTATTGACAACTTTATTTTCTCAACTTTAGAGCTTTGAAACAAGCGAGGCCTAATCGACCACATATTCGCCATAGTTGCAGATGACCTTCGTCCATCTTCTGGGCAGGTCATGGATGCCTTCTCTGTAGGACTTGGGCTTCGAGGCGAAGAAGTCTGCGAGGCCGGTTTCCATGGCCTGTCGATTGGTGAAGCTCCTCCCAGCCAGGTGATTTTTCAGCGATCGGAATAGATGATAGTCAGAAGGGGCAAGGTCCGGGGAGTACGGTGGGTGACAGATCACTTCCCAGCCGTACCCCTGTAGCGTGCTGCGGGTGACGTTCGCGACGTGTGGGCGCGCGTTATCGTGTTGGAAAAACACGTGGCCTGCCCAGTAAGGATCGGAGTCCAGTTTCGCTTTGAGATTTGCCAGCTGAGTGGTGTAAATGCGGGCAGTGACCGTTGAGTTCTCTGGAAGCAGCTCCCAGTACTCAACTCCTCGTTCGCTCCACCAGATGCACAGCAACAGCTTCTTCGGGTGCAGACTGCCTTTTGGCTGTACTGGAGGCTTGGAACCGGAGCGCAGCCAGTGGTGTTTCCTCTTGGGAGTATCGTAGAGGACCCACGACTCATCCCCAGTAATGAGGTGATCGAGCCAAGCATGTGTCCGGCGCTTCGTCAAGAGTTCGGTGGCACAGTCGACCCGCCTGTCCTTGTTCGCCTGTGTAAGGTCGTGGGGCACATAACGGCCGAGCATATTCACTAAGCCGAGCTTGTCCAGGCCACGGGATACGGTGGAATAGTGGCAGGAGAGACTGCTTGCCGATCCGCGTGTGGTCTGCTGGCTGTTGCTCTCCAGCTCTGCTTTCAGGGCATCAGAATCCAACTCCGTCGGGCGTCCGGACCGCGGTCTGTCTTCAACGTCGTAGTCTCCAGAAGAGAATTTGGCAAACCATCGTTCTACCGTGCGAAGACTTATGATGTCTCCGCCATAAACTGCGCACACTCGGCGATGAGCTTCCGTAGCTCCGACGCGAGAGTGGAAGTGGAAGAGAATGCAGTGACGGAGATGGATCTGCGTTGGCGTGAATTTCTCAGAGGCCATGAGAGATGATGGGATGAGTGAGATGCAACAGACTGTCCTTATATACCCATACCTACCACCCACTCGCCAGGAATTGTCAAAGCCTGGAAGTCTTATTAGAACATGTTACATTCAACACCGACAGGACTTTTGCAACAACCTAATATTTATGTCAGATCATTGACCAGGTACTGGCTTGTTAGGGATAAGTTTGGATCTGTGGTGTGCTCTGAGTGATTAGAACCAAGTGAATTATTGCATCTTTCCTATGTTAAGGGGATTCGTCCATCTCCTTGGTGGAGATGGACTTCGCGAAAGATAC